TTCTATACACAGCAGTTTCACAGTCACAGAGCCTTAAATCAGTGTCACAGTCCAGTAAATAGTCATATACCATATAGTCAGTCCGTTCTGCCAGAGTTCCACTCTCCAAGCACGTAGGTACAGCTTCCTCTGAACTCTCAGGCACGGCTCCACGGCTACAGCACTTCACGACAACACAGCAACAACCCAAGAGCAACACACACTGTTGTATTCTAGGTCTCCCAGTTATATACCAATCCTGGTATGTTCTGGTAAATTCTTACTCAGCTGTTCATGCTTTCTGCTTAGCTTCTCTCTAGCTCTGGTCCTTACAAATACTTACTGCTGGTACAAACTGCATTTAACAATTTCAGGTTTATCCAAACCCTGTCAAAAACCATTTTCAAACCTCTCCCCTCCCTTCAAAGGAATGGGATTATGTGGTTGTGGCCTGGCTTGAATATCTTCAGAAACCTGGCCAACAGTAAGGGACAATGGGAGCACATGTCGCAAAACTTCTAAAGGCCAAAGATGTCCCAACTCTGCCCTCATCAGATCACTACGTCAGTTGACTTCTCTGTCAGTAACCTGCCCCTTTGCTAAGTACAGATGCCTAGTGATCTGAAATCCAGCTACTCTAAAGAAGATGCTGCAACAGGGCATTCTGGTGGCTGAAGTGAAAGAAAAGGGAAATGCATTTTCAGGAAAAACTGTGTCTATACAGCATCATTTTGAGATGAGGGCCTATTTCAGCACCTATTAAAATGGATGTAATTTGCTATTTAGTGCATATTCTGCAACGACAGAAAACAGAGTAGGTTATAAGGAGGGTTTGATGATACTCAGCGAGGCACCTCTTACAAGTTAACCTACTATTTAATTATGCTATCCTTTTAATAGGAAAAAGATCCAGAGCTTGGTTCATCCAGATTCTTTCCTATTTTATCAGCTGTTAGCAGACAGCAATTGAAGCCATTTTTCCATTCCACAACACACAGCTGAGAGCCTCTCTTTCACCTCAGTGGGGCAAAAGCGAAGAAGAGCAAATCATGGAAGAACCAGATTAGCATAACATCTGTTGGGAAGCTACATGTCACAGAAGGGTGGGATTCCCGATTCCTCTCTTTTTATCAAGGACCGTTGCTCCAAAGCCTGAACACGGAGTCTGGCTAGATTTCAAGGGCAATGAATCATGAATTTAAGCATGACAGTTATATCTGAAGAAGCTACTTGCTGAAAGTTCCTGATTATGACTCCAGTTACCCTCATAACCACAATACGGTTCTGATGTCTTCTTTAACTAGCTAAGCCCAAGACCAGAATACTAACAGGACACTTAGCAGACATTCTGTGGGTAGGTAAATCTGCTGCTCTGAAAGATATGTGTCCAGTACTGGCAGAGGTTGCACTCTTTGCAGATGTTTTTTATTTTGAAAACTACAGTGGTGCCTCGCTTAGCAGTGTTTGTGCAGCAAAAATCGCTGCTAACTGAAAACATCGCTAAGCGATTTTTAAAAGCCCATAGGAATGCACTGAAACCCCTTCAATGCGTTCCTGTGGGCAAAAAACTCACCTTTAAGGGAAAATCTTCCATACGGTGGCCATTTTCACTGCCCGGTATGCGAGGAATCCGTCCCAAAACACAGCGGGCGGCCATGTTTTTTTTCCCGGCAGCCATTTTGGAACTGTCGCTCAGCTGTAGGAAAAAGATCACTATGCGATAATCGGTAAGCGAAACAGTTTACCGATCATCGCAAAATGATTTTTTCCTATTTAAAACATTGCAATGCGATCGCTTTTTCGATCGCAAATTCTTCGTTGCTAAGTGGTTTCGTCGTTAAACGAGGCGCTCATTAAGCGAGGCACCACTGTACCTTTAAAATGCCTTTGCCTTGAAAAATATATGTAAACATTTCAAATAAATAAACAAATGAATAAACAGTAGCAAAAAATATGAGTATTCTTTCCCAAGGCCAGCACTCACGCTCTGAGCTGCATTTTGTGGGGATACAAAAACAGGAGTTTCTGAGTGTCTGATGGATCTTGCGGGGTTTTTAAAAAACCCAATTTACTCTTATTCTGGAAGGCTGCTCTTACACAGTAAAAGCAGACCAATCCCAGATTTTTCTCATCCTCCAGCCAATCCGTGCTTGTGCAGGAGCACTGGTGATAGTGTTGCCACACACACAATCAGACCATATCAGAAGATAAATCAAAAGCGTGTTTTCCTGCCTTAATTCTGAATAGGAGAACAGGCTTGCCCCATCTCCTCATCTCCACAGGCTATGCTGGCTAGGGAATTCTAGGGGCTGTATTCTAGAAATAATTCTTCCGAAGTCTGCTTTCATTTAGAAACTAAGCATTGATTTGGCTTCACAATGAACTGAGTAAACTTGTGGAGTTTCATGTGGCTTTGTGTAGATTGTACACAGAGATATTTGTACAAGTTTGTACAACCTGATGAGGGATTTTAGGAGTTCCCCTAGCTCTGCAAATTAGCAAGACCCCATCCCACACTTTCTATGCTATTCAGCAGCCAGCCATCTCTCAGCACTCGAAACATTAAGAGACCAGAACAGGAGAGAACAAAAAAATTACAGATGTGTGTTATAACATGTTTATCCCTTTAAAAAAGCCTTCCAAATCTGATCATTAACCAACCTGATGATTCAGTGCCCCACTGACAGCCTCAGCTGCGTTCACTTACCAACCACAACTGGCAGCACCTTCATGGCCTTTCTTTCCCTGCCATTGATTTTAGCTTGTTTCCTTTTGAGTCCTCCGTGTGGCAGGTATCTGAGGTGTGGGTAGGATACAGTCTGAATGCCATTGTCCATGTAATCCCTGGGATAGGTGCATCCAGAGCGGGCATAGAGCCTGTGCTCTTCTAACCTGATGCTGGCCTGGGTCCTCTCAATGACCGGTGGCGGGCAATAGAGTCGCCGATTGCCCAAGTAGATGCTGCTTTTCAGCTTGGCCTTCCGAGCCTCCTCCCAGCGCCTCAGTCCTTGGAACATGGCGCAGTAGAGGACCAGCATGACAGGGCAAGGGATGAAGAAGGAACAGATGGAGGAGTACACAATATAGTTATTGTCCTCCAGCTGGCACACAGAAGGGTCCCGATCTGGAACATTGTTCAGGCCAAAGATGACCGGGGAAGCCACAGCAAAAGCAAAGATCCAGGTGGTGGAGATCAGGATCAGCTGCCGCAGGTCGATTTGTCGCCTGTTGTAATTGAGTGGGATGGAGACGGCAATGAACCTGGATGACAAAGAAGAGGGTGAAGTAGTGGGACTCCTTGCAAGGCCTGATTCAGACAATTATGTTGCCTTAAAAGAGCCTCCAAGATTCAATAAAATCCAGCATCAATGTACACAAGGGTCATCACAGGTAAAGAGAACAAAGTATGCTCTTGTCTCTCAGTTCATTTTTCCTTGCACACTCTTGCCTCTGCAATCTTTCTCTGTCCAGTTCTGCTCCACATCTTCCCTTGAAGCAACTCTACTCTTTTTCTCTGCCCTACCCTTAACCCTGGAACTGCCTCCCAAGGAAAGACTGTCTCACTTTCATTTACTGACACATTACATCTGTTCTCAAACTCTACTTTTTTCATGAAGGTTTTGGCACAACCTGGAGTACCCCTACCTTACTCTAATTAAGCATGTATATATAGCTGGATACCCAGTGTGGTGTAGTTGATAGAGTGAGGGAGTAGGTTTCAGAGGGCTAGGGAATCCCCATTCAGTTGTAGAAGCTCACTGGGTTGAAAGCTCTATTAGGGTCGCTATAAGTCGGATTTGACTTGATAACACATAACATAACATAACATACATAACTGCAATAATCATTGTTTTCCTCCTATCTATCCCTGCCCCCATTTGCCTCCTCTGTTGTTTTCACTATGTCTGTTTATTAATAGTGACCCCTTTGGGGCAGCAACCTGTCTTCTTATCCCCTGAAGCACTGGGTTACAACACCCATCACCCCCACCATGCTAGCTGGGTAGGAAGGCACTTGCAATCTGAACAGCTAGAAGAAGGGGCTGGTCTAGAAATATCTCAACTTCAAATTTCAGTTTACCTTGTTTGGCAAATGTTCAATATCAGTGGACCTACTAAAGATATGGAGCCTATAACGAAGACTTTGCTAGCAATAAGGCTATTAATCTTTATACCAAATATTATACATGTTCTCCAGTCCTTTATTTTACTGATATTCATTGGTTGGCCAGCCAAGTGAAATGTAAATTAAACGGCTGTATCAGATGAGTACAGTATCTGGTTCCCTACAATCAGATACCCCATTGTCATTACTTTTTACTCTCCCTAATTTGATTAAATATATTGCCTCCTATAGCTTCAACTCTTCGAGCAACAGTATTTGGTGCAAGACTCAATGTTTTGAAAATATTTACTTTTTCTGGGCATAATATTTCAAGGTCACTCAACAAAACCCAGTTATCAAGTGTTTAAAAAAATTCCCTGACATATACAGGATGGATGGATGGATGGATGGATGGATGGATGGATGGACGGACGGACGGACGGACGGACGGACAGACGGACGGACAGGCGGACGGTCAGGCAGACAAACTACCCTATGTGATCTTGTCTATCTGTCCATATGTACTATATGTAACTTATTTATACACATATAGGTGTAACACACACACACACACACACACACACACACACACACACACACACAGGTATGTGCACACTTGTTAAGACTGCTTCTCTGCCTATCTATCTACTGCTTTTATCTCCCTGCTTAGAAATACATAGGCAGAAAAGGCAGGACCCACCCTTCCTTCACTAATTAGTTCTTTTAATTAAGAAGGAGAGGGAGGGGCAGCCAGCCAGCAAGCCAGCTGGCAGCCACATGACCAGCCCATGACCTTGAGCTGGGAGGGGCGCACTCCCCTCCTCCTTCGCCTGAACCTCGTTCCCTCCCCAACCCCCCATTTCCCCTCACCTGAAAAGAAAAAGGTGGGAAGGTCCCCCCAGGTGATGCAGTGGGAAAGGGGGGGCAGCAGCACAGGAGGATGTGGTGCTGGCCCACACTCCCCGGCAGCCCCAGGAGCGCCCTGGCTGCCATCTTGACCACCTCCAGCTGGGCTTGGAGGGGAGGAAGTGGAAGGAGCACAATGAGCCCCCACAGCAACCAGGGAGAGGCCCCTCAAAAAGGAAGGGGACTCTCCAGGGAGGTGACCCCCCCGAGCCTCTTTCCTCAGAGAAAACAGAGAGAGAGAGAGCAAGAGAGAAAGAGAAAGAGAGAGAGAGAGAGAGCACAAGAGCACAAGAGCAAGCCAGCTTTCACATCCCTCTCATCTCCTTGAGTCTTCAGCGTTGCCACCTCCTAGGTGGGTCAGGTGGCATAGCAGCTGGTGATTGGCTCGTGCTTTCCAGGCAGGGCTGGGAGGGGGTGCGGTGGATGATTGCCTTGGTGATGGAAGATTGCTATGGGGCATAAGACCAGGCAGGGCAGTCCAGCAGACAACCCAGGTGGGGACACGCCATTGCTGGGAGGGAGCTGGTGGAGCGTCCCACAGGCACCCGCTTTCGAGGGACACCATGCCATTCCTCCGCTTCCTTCTCTCTCCCTGGCCCTCATTAACAGTGGCTTTCTGCTGTGGTCTCCGTTTGCCTCTGCTCAGCCATGTTGTGGTGAGACTGACCCTTTTGCAGCTGCAAAAGGGCCAGTATACTTGACTGGGGCAGATAAAAAGGCAAGGTGGGCTGGATGTGGCCCATGGGTCGTAGTTTGGAGACCCCTATTTTAGACTGGCCTGCTTTACTATTCTCTGCGTGGGACTGCCTTTAGACATGGTTTGAAAACTGGTTCAAAATGAGCCCAGCAGAATGCTGGTTGGCATACAACCACAGAAGCACATCACCCTGGTTTCATATCAACTGCACTGCTCATCTATTCACTTCCAGTTTATTTCAAAGAGCTGGTATAGTACCAACTCTTAACAATGGAATCTTGTGCAAATCTGCTTAGAAGTAAGTCATATGGTGTCCAACAGTGCTTTGCAATCAGGATGTTTGGAGTTTCAACTTTAAACTCATGAACTGCCTTCAACCTTCTCCATATGCCTGAACCTTAAGCATGCCCTTGGATGCCCTGCCTTCTGTTCCATCATAGCTAATCCTGGTACATAGGCATTAAAGACAGAGTGTTCTAAAGCATCGCACAACCACAGTCTCTGTGCAGTGGTACTCTTCTTCTCTTTGCTTTCAGATGGGCTGTGAACACTTTGATGTTTGTATAGGCATTTCATGTCTAAGGTTATCTTCTATCTTTAAATTTTTATATAAATTTACTGAACAGAAGAAAAAGACCCTGTACAAAAACTACGGTTTTACGAAACAATACCATATGTCCATTTATAACACAACCCAAACCCTCTTCTTCACTTTGTGTGATCCACCCCCAACCCGGGACTAATTCTTTGTTCTCATATTTCAAATTGTCCCACTTCTCTCCAGCAATACATTGATTCTTCTCCTGGCGTATACCCCTTCCCTTTCTTTAACACATGTACCAAAAACAAGTTCCGTATTCATTTAAAATCACTACATTTTGTCATTCTTCTTCACATCAACATATTGCCATATTCCACATTTCTCTGTACTGTGAGGAACTGAAGGAAACTGGGAATTGTAGTCATATAAAGATGGAGTCTGTGAGATTTTGTGTAAGATGAATTTAAAAGCCATGGAATGTGATGAGACTGTTTTGCAAAGTTGCTTTGCCTGGCACAGAGATAAGAATGCAAGGCCAGAGGGACCCAGGGGAAGACCAAACAGCATACTACCTAATTGGGAAAGAGATAAGATACCTGCAGATCTCTTGTGAATTATGGGCAGAGAGCTGTGTTATACCCACTTGGATTTAATTGGTTAACAGGTTGGAAGAGTCATAAAGAAGGTGGTCCAAAACATGTAGAAAAATAGTCGTTTATGTATGTGAAGTGTTCGTTCAATGGAGGGGGGATGTAGTGGAATGTGAGAGAAAGAGAAGTTTGTTTTTGAGGAAGGAGAAGGGGGAGGAATAGCCCAGCTTTTCTAGATGTGAACATGTAATCAGAACAAAGATGATTACTTAGCATAGACTTAGTTGTTCTTATTTTACTTGGAAATAGCAGATTTATTTAATTATTGTAGTACCTGGATATGCCAATCGCTTATGCCTTAAAGCTACAACTGTATTCTAATTAAACTACTTTATTTTCTTAATATAATCAAATAATTCTTCAAAGGGCGACTGGTCTTTTGAACTAAAGACCAGTCCACACTAAATCCACACTAAATCTAGTGTGGATTTGAGAAGGTCACAAAGTTACTACTGAAAATTGGTCCTACCTGGTAAGGTTGTTGTGCATTCTAAGGAAACACACAGTCAATGGTTTATTGCTTTGAAAGTAAGCAAAGGTTACTATTAGGATCAGGCTTGTCTATGGGGCTTGTACTGCACACTTCTGAGGCCTAAAGGACCTACCTCGGGCAATAAAGGTGGTAGCTTTGTGCCCACAGTGACTCCCAGACCCACAATCCACATCTCTTTAGGGAGAGATATTTTTACATATACCACTCCTTTATACTAATTTGACTGTTACATTTCCAGTTGTTTGTAAATATTAACCTTGCCAATATCACCATTATAATAATTAATTCCTTTTCTTCAATTGATTATTATGAACTGGATTCACCAAAGCAATCATGGGGACATTTGTACATCCAGACCAATTATTTCTCTTATCTCCTTGAAAATCATTGTCTCTATCTTGATCTTTTAAACTTCCTTCTGTTCTTGCTGCTGCTGCTATTTTATTATTTTGTAACCGTTTTTGTTCTATAACAATTTGCAACATCTATCTATGTAAATATTTCTATTCTATTTTCCTTTGGATACATTGCATAGAGGAAAGTGGGAAATAAATAACAGGAAATAAAAATAAATCACGGGTAGAAGAAAACTGGTACACTATAAACATTAAGATCACAAAGATAATAAAAGTTATCTTTGCAATTCTGCAGGCGTTAAGTAGGCTCAAACTAATTTATAGTCCCATTTATTAGGATGCGCCTGATATCTGTAAAGTCAGCAGAGAATTCCAAGTATTAAGTGGGCTCTGAAAAACAAATTAACAGTCTTTGGCAACAACAGGAGCTCAGCTGAGGGAAACTGACATCTCTGTGACTGCCCATTTGCATTTGATCAGGTGATCACACAAGACAGAAAGTGGAGAAAAGCAATGCCAGCCAAATTTGAGCTAAATAAAACCACCCCTGTTGACTGAACTTTAAAAAAAGATAATTCCCCACTGAAAAGAGATGATTCCTCACTGGGCTTCTCTGAGTTTAGCTTTATGACATTTAGTTGCCAGTTTTTAATTCAATGTTTAATTCCTCAGTGCCAAATCTGATGCAAACTGCCAGGTTAACAGCCAAGGTAGTCACCCCCTGACTCTGAATTTGGAGTCCATCCACCGTGTCCCATTTTCTGGTCAAGAATTTTAGTCTGGTTTTCCATCTGTCCACAGCTTGTCTACTTCTGCTTCACTGTTAGATGGTGATCAATGTTAATTAAATCTGTGTGTGCTGAAGTATTTTAACACATGCCCAACAGCCAGAGCTTTATCCTTTTTTAATTCCACGAAAAAAGAAAACCCTATTTTTTTCATATATCTCCTATAAATAATACATAGTCACATTAGAGAGTTTAGGATTTTCCCCCATGCCAAAAATGCTTTCAAGTTAGTGCTGATTCAGATAAGCTCTATTTCACCTCAGAAATATATATACTGTATGCTGGAATAAGAGGAAAGTGTTGCAGTTTTACTATTTTTATATATATAGTAAAACTGCAACACTTTTCTCTTATTCCAGCAACATGAGATAGTAGCAGAATAGCAAAAGTGGTCATTTTGCTCAGTCCCTTTGTAGATTCCCCAAGAACAGACAGCAGAAACAGGGGAAGGGGAATAAGGGAAAGACTGCAGAGGAGTAAGGAACTAAGTTGGGTTCAGCCAGGAGAAGACTCAGTAGGACCCTTGTCCCAATCTGGAGAAGTGGCAGACAGAGATTGCTGGGTTGGGATCCTGTGCGCTAGAAGGCTCCTATGCAACTGCTTCCCCATGTCCCTCTTCCTGTGCAACAGGTTGCTGGTGGGGGTGGTCTTGCTTAGAACTCAGAGGAGGGAGAGATGAGTTGGAGATGGGGCTCTGAGGAATCCAGGTGGCAAGCCACAAGATTCTGTTGGGTTTGTTTGGTAGAGTTTGGTGTGAAGAAAATAGTTGAGCATGGCTTCAACTAACAATAAACTTTTCTTTTAATTATGCAGCAGAAAAAAATGGTTCTGGCAGGAACATACAGAGCAGAATGAACTATAGTCTCCCTTAGTAGACCATCCCTATTTGTTAGTTTACCTCAACTGGCATTTATTTGTTTCAATACATTCACACAGAGACTCTGGTAAATTAAAAAGAATTTAAAGTTTCATTTTACTCACAGTTCTTCTTATATAAAAACAAACACAATATTTTGTGTAAATGTTAATTTGTTACATTACAAAGCTTGACTGCTTAATTTACTTCATGATTGACTAACTGACTAGTTACATTGTTGGCAGAACACTTCACTGTCACTACTCATTTCTGACTCTGTAACTCTTACACTCTAACAGAACACAAACTGAACCCTGACTTGAAAAAGGTGGGCGAAAGAATCTGAAGTAGTGAGGGAACAATTGGTTGTTCCTGAGTAGACTGAAATTCACTGCAGCTCCCTCCCAGCCAAGATATCTCAAAGGCATTATATGAGATTGCAATATTCTAAAAACTCCCACCACCACTCCAACTCTGTGGACTATTACAATATATATTCCCTTGATAATTAGTCTTATCAATAATGACCAACTACTACTATAACAACAGTGAAAGTTACTGGGAAGTGGTGGACAAAGCACTGAATCAACTCAAATTAACTTCCCAGTATAGTTGCACCTTCTGAAGGGTAACACTGCCCATAAAATATTTTTGCTTCTACTCCTAATTTTACTCTCCATTCAGGACCAGTCTTCTCTCCTTTCTCCTGCCTTTCAGTGATCCAAAGCAACAAATGAGTCAATTCCATCAGCTGACACCTTTCTCATGCTTTCCTTTTGTGTCTTCCAACTGTTTGCTTAGCAGAGAAAATTTAATAAGAGAAAAAAAAAGGATACTAGCTGCAGAATGCCTTTTTACTAAGAGTAAGGGGAAGACTCCTAAAAGTACTGCCTGGTGTAACCAGATAAAGATGACAACAAAACCAGTGGCTGCCATTCCAAGTACTGGGTCACACATTTGCTTTCATGGGACATGGGAAACTCTGCCAGAAAGAACCAATTTCCCTACTGTTCCTGCTCTTCTACAGAGGGAGAGATTGTTGCATATATCTTTCCCACAATCCTCTAGAGTACATTTATCCTTCCCACAATCCTCTAGGACAAGTTACAGCAAGAGACAGAGCCCATGGTCACACCAAGACCCCCCTCCCTTTTAAATATTTATCCAGGAAAAAAGCTAAAGGTCATTTTTCATATATATTTTTTGACAACCTGAGGGTTACATCCTCAGGAGGAAGGTGTAAAAAAGCAAGGATGAGGCTAACTTGTATTCGCGAAGGCTTTCACGGCTGGGATCTAATGATTGTTGTGGGTTTTTCGGGCTCTTTGGCCTTGTTCTGAAGGTTGTTCTTCCTAACGTTTCGCCAGTCTCTGTGGCTGGCATCTTCA